GGAATGTTACCATTAATACTGAGAAGGATTGAGTTCTAAAGGGCTTGGAACTCACTGGAGACAGGAATGAGCATTGTGTCACCAATTCCTAAATCATGGTTTGGATGAGAATCAAATGAAATTCAGGGGCAATAGTGCATTCGGGACTGTCAGTCCAGTCTGGGAGCTCGCAGGTGCAAACTCTGGGACCTGGTGGGGACTTTCCACTTTCCCTACTGCCTCAAGAGCAGTTGGACCAACTCCTGACTGAACTCTTTCATCTCTGGTGACTTCCCTGTTCTGACCCACCACTCAAGTACAAGAGGGAGCCATATAAGAATGATATTAAGGCTCCGAGTGACTGGCATCCAAAACTAGGAGAGCCATTATGAGCCATCCAGAGGAGCAGAACCTGAAATGTAAGAGACCAGTTTTATTTAAACTAGACAAATGGTTCTAATGGAATTTGAGACAAGCTGTCAGGGATGAGGGAAACAATGAGGTTCTTAGATGATAGACTCATCTTCCCTAGGGGGGTTCTGAAAAGCTTCCTTCTTCAGCTGTGCTATCCTTTCCTCCACTTCCCTCACCCCACCACTACCAACGACATTTTTGTTAAGGCTGCACAAAGCAATGCCTCTGGTCTGCTTCCAAGGGTCAGCACTGATGGCCTAAGAATTAAGACCTGTTTGACTTTTATGATCTTCAACTTCTTAGAAATGGGGTTATACAAAACAGAGACTGCTTTCTCTCACGTCCCTGGGGCCTGTGCTAGACTCTGAACTTGACCTTCATTCTCAGGGTAGCATCATAAGGAGATATGATTTGCTTTTACTGCCTTCCCAGGTAGCCTGACTTCAGGACATGACTTTCACTTGCTTTGAAGCTCTGCAGATGAGGTAACATAAAAGTACACAGGCACCGGCACCAGGAATGACAGTGGAAATGTCATTTGGGTTTTTAACTCATTTTCTGCTTGGAGGGATCAAATGCTCCTGACTGAGAAGGAAAAAAAGAAAAAATAAATCTTGCAGTTACTGTAATGGTAATTGAAAACTTTTGTTGTCATTATTACCGAAAAGCCAAGGTTTTACTCGAATCCTTGTGAAAAGAAAGTAATGTTATTCTTTTATTAGTCAGAAGCTTAGCTTAGAGTGTCTTTTTAAAATTAAGAAATTAACTAATCTCACCTCAATTCCAATTCTGGAATCTCACTAAGTCTATATGAAGCTAGCAAAATAACCTGAGCATAGACTAGTTGTTGGAGAAGTGGTTTTTAAAACAAGAAAAAGACAAACTTTGAGGTCAGAGGGGCTTTGATTTAAATTCAGTCCCCTCTGCTTTCTAGCCTGGAACCTTGGGTAAATGATGAAATCTTTGTGGGCCTCAGTTTCCTTATCTGTAAATGGGGGTAAGACCTATTTTATAGGCTCACTGGGAGGATTCTAGGAGGTAGTATCTATAAAGCTGGAGCACTCTGGAAGACCATAGTGAGCCTGGCACTCCAGGAGGTATTCAGTAAGTGTTGGTTCCCTTCCTTCCTGTTCCTGAACCTCCCTTTTCCCCTAACTTTTCCCCTTTGGTGGGATTGTCCTTTGGTGGGATTATTCAAATGTCACTGCCAAATCCTCAGTTTGATGGTAAGGTACAAAAGAATCTCTGAGAGACTTAGTCACTGTCCTCATTTGCTTATAAATAAGTCATATTACCTTTGGGTGTACCTCTGATCAATAATTCACCTTTGGGGCACCAAAGTCACTTATATGGGTCTGAGGTCTTTGTAATGAAAATAAATTATTTCAATATGTGTAGGGAATTTGAACACCATCAGAGTCCATAAAACCAAAGATATAATTGTGGGAGTAGGAACTGGGGAGAGAACTTGTCTTCCTTATGCTTTGCACTAACTGGTGATGTTAATGTTCTTAGGATTGACACAGGATTGTCACCAGCGAGCAAGGCAGCACCAAAGTGGAGCTTCATCCTTAAACTGGGAAGATTATTCTGACATCTTTGTGAAAGAGATGCAGAGGCAGGAGGAGGAGGAGATAGAGGGCAGAGTATGACCATTGCTATCTCAAGCAATGCAGGTCCAAGAGGAAGACGGTTGGATGGCAACAGAATTCTAGAACTCCTTTTGTCTCAGGGCCTATATCTTGCCTTGGCTGCTGTTCTTTATGACCAGTTTGCTCATCTGAGAGCTTTGTACTTGGTAACAGGGGTGGTCTGAGTTCTTTCCCTCTCTTCCCTGTGGCTCAATCACTTGGTGGAGTTAGGGAAGAAAGCAAATCTGGTGCAGAAAGGTGGAGAGTTAGGGGCCATGGAGTGGGGGAGGAAAGGGTATCTTTCTCTGCTTCTGCACCTGAGGGCACAGAGCTACTCCCTCCCTCCTTTTGATCATCAGTGCACATGGTAGAGATCTCTTCTTTAGCCTTAATAACTCTGTGATACAGGGTTTTGTTTTTTCATTTGTTTGTTTGTGTTAATATGACACTCCTTTCTTTTTTTTTTTTTTT